AGGAGGGGACTGTTTTGGCTGTGGAAGAAGTGGTTGACAAGGATGAGAGAGAAGGAGATGGGGCTTCCTTTTCAAAAGATTTTAAAAGTGAAAGGAAATATAGAACAAAATCATTGGTTCAAGATAAGGAGGTTGGAAATGAAAGTAATGAAGTATTGGAATCAAGTGATGAAGAAATTGTCATGGATGAAGTCCATCAAGTTGGTAGCTCAACTGATTTGGAATTGGTGGTGAACGAAGAGGTGGAGGTGTGCAAGATTCTAGGTATTCGATTTGTAGGGGTCGAGGAGTTAGCAAGGAGAAACTTTTAGGAAATTGGAAGAAAAATATCCAATGCCTAAGGAGGGGATGGATCAAGAAGCTGGAAGACATTGCTTAAAAGATGGTGAAAGTTTTAGTGACTAGGGTTTGGTTGGAATGGATGAGGATGCTGCTGGAGATATTTGGGAGGAGATTGTAGGTTAGAGTTTTGAGAAGAATGTGGTGTTGGAGCCTTGTGGAAGAGAATTTTTTTGGAAATCGGTGGGGGTTAATCCAAAATTTGAAAGCTTTTGGAAATCGGCGATAGAAAGATTTGCTAAAGAAAATTAGCTTTGTGGAAGAGAAGCTACATCTTTATGGGAGCCTGGGAGGAAGAGTTACTTTGATCAAGTCCACCTTAGCTAACCTGCCTACCTATTACCTATCCACCTTTAGAATATCGGGTAAAATAGCAAGGCAATTAGAAAAATTTATGAGAGACTTGTTGTGGGAACTAGGTGATGGAAAAAAAGACCACTTGATAAATTGGGAACAAGTTTGCAAGCCAAAAGAGTAGGAAGGACTTGACATTATTGGAATTTGATTAAGAGAAATATAACTCTCCTAGGAAAGTGGCTTTGGAGATTTCCTCTAGGAGATAGGTTGTGGCATAGGGTCATCGGAAGCATTCATGGTGTGGCCGAAAATGATTGGGATGCAAAACTGGCATTTCATGCTTCTTCAAGATCCCCTTGGAAAGCAATGATAGAGGTATTACCAACCTTTCTTAACTTCACTCATTTTGATGTGGGATGTGAGGAGAGAATCTTATTTTGAGTGTATCTATGGATTTGGGACATGCCCCTTAAGTTCCAATTTCCTATACTCTACTCTTTGTCCAACTACAAGGTTGAACTTGTTTCTAAATTTGATTTGCTCTTGAAACATGGGTTGAACTAGGATTTTGGTTTTAGAAGAGGTTTGGGGAATAGTTAGTATGATTCCCTTGTTCTCCTACTCACAAAACTGGAAAATGTCTTTTTGGATCAAAGCACTTTAGATGGTAGAATTTGGTTTCAAGATCAACACCCGTGACTTGTTATAGAAAGGAAGGCCAAATAAGTGTCTCTCTCCTCACATGTGTTTCCTTTGCAAGGATAGCGGTGAGACCCTTCCTCATTTATTAATCTCCTGCTCCTTTGTGTCTTGCACTTGGGAATACTTTTGTTCTATTTTTGGCTGCAGATGGGTTCCCCCACAGGATGTGGTAGGTTTATTCAACTCCAGTTTCTTGAGGCAACAGAAAAAGAGAGGATGACTTATGTAGAGGGTAGTAAGAGTAGTGGTGGTTTGGACTGTTTGGGAAGAAAGAAATCAAAGGATCTTTAATGAGAAGAGTAAATGAAAGGAAGAACCGATTGAAGCCATAACAGTTAAGACTACACATTGGATAAAAACTTTGGACCTTTTTGGAGAATTCTCAACCAATAACATAATAAGGTCTTGGACTTAAGTGGCGAAAATAATTAGGCACATAGAAAGTATAAGATTGGAATGGAAACCTCCAGCTATATAAATAAGCTGAAGTTTTACTTTGATGGCAGCTCATTGGGCAATCCAGGAAGAGCAGGCACAAGGGGAGTATTTAGAAACAACCAAGGAGTGGTAGTGGCCTTGTTTTTGGCACCAATTGGCTTTGGAGACTCGGTTCAGGCCGAAATATTGTCTCTCTTACAGGGAATGAGACTTGCAGTACAGATCGGAGTTAGGAATTGGAAATTGAAGGAGATTCGCAATTAGTCATTTCATGGACCAAGAAAATCAATTCAACCCCTTGGAAATACAGACATGCTTCCAGGGAAATTGATCTCCTAGCAAAGAGGTTTAATTCTAATTTCAGCTGGGTAAGCAGGACTGCAAATGGGATGGCAGATGTGTTAGCAAAACAAAGAGTTGACAGGCCTTCTTTGTTTTGGGAAAAATTGTAATATGGTGTAATTTGGGCTGGTGGATTGCTTTTATAAATGTACTAAGTTTCTGATTTATTAATGAAATCCTTTCACTGATAAAAAAAGTTTGGGAAGCTTTATTTGAACATTAAAGCTGCAGGACCATGGAAGTATTGGGGAGGCATTCTTTTCCTTGTTCTGGGCTCAGTTTGCTTTCTTTGGTTGTTGGATTCTATTGCGAGACCTTGTGGATGTGGTATACTTTTCTTTCTTTTTTAATAAATTGCATACTTTACCTTTTCTCAAAAAAAAAAAAAAGAAAAAAAGAAGAATATTGCAAACTGTTTTACAAGGTTTAAGCCTTGAGGCAAGGCGCACAAATTTTGCCTCAAGGCTTAAGCCTTTGTCAGAATGAGGTGTAAGCCTCAAGTATGCCTAAAGCCTTTGTCAGAATGAGGTGTAAGCCTCAAGTATGAATGATTATTAGTGATTTAATTCTCTCTCTCTCTCTCTCAATATATATATATATATATATATAATGCATTTTTGTAATTCAAGATATATGGAAGAAGCACTTCAATAATTCTGAGGCAAGTAAATGAAAGAGTAAAAATGAAAAACCAATAGGAGAAATCAAGTTCTATTAGTTTCTCTTAGTGTTTTAGGAGAGTTCAACGCAAAAAGGGCCAATTAAGTTCTTAGTTTCTCTTGGATACATGGAGGCGATTTTTCTTATTATTCTAAATCTAACATCCCCTCATTTCTTTTCCTAATCGACTTATTTTCTTTTTATTGATTTTTTTTGTATAGACAAATTAGCTAAGTTATATTCTTTCTTCTGAACTATTGAATGACCATAAAGCTAATATCCAATTATATGGATGATTCTTCATATGTTTCCTTTCTTCTAAATTGGTCATTTGAATTATTTGAGAACTTTTTATCTTAAAAAAATATTTGAGAACTTTACATTTTGAAACATGAAATGTAAAATGTTTATAATCGTTAGTTGATTTGTTATTATTTTATTTAATGCTTAACTGCTGAAACTTATTGCTTATAAACTTTTATTTTATGGATATTTATACCTTCTATCATTCTAACTTGGCATATTATATATTATTTGTATGAACTTATAATCTTTAATTAATTTTATTCTTAAGCCTTGAGGCTTACACCCCGCAACGCCTTGAGGTTTACGCCTCACCTTTTTGGGCCATTACACCTAAACTATGCCTTCAGCCTTTTAAAACCTTGATTGAAAATCCTCCAAAGGATAAGAATGGCCTTCTACTAGAAGGGCATGAAGTGACAAGATGGGGAGTACATCAAGCAATGCAACTTGTGCACATCATTAGTGAGGAATACGACAGAGAACTGCTACGAGATATGCATGAAATTTCATCTTACAACTACGTATTCGCACACCTTTCGAGAGGCCAACCATGCAGCGGATTGGCTGGCGGAGTTCAGCCACCAGAACGAAATATCATCCCCTTCGTTTTGTAATTCTTTGTTTTTTTTTTTTATTTGCTTTGCTGATGCGTGGGGTGTAGCTTCTCCTCATGGTTTGTAAGTTCTTCCGGTATTAACAAAAAAAAAGAACTAATAAGTAGAGTTTGTTTTGCTGTGAAATGGTTCTGGTCAATTCAATCAGTCAGTACTGCTTACAAGTTTGTAGGAAAGAAGGAAAAGACATCCACAACTCAACATTAGATCAGTTTCAATCAACTGTTGCAGCAAAGCTGTATAAAAATGGGTCTGCGTCAATGTAAATATTTTCTTTTTAATTCAGTAGTCTATAATTAGAGATCAGGTTTCCCTTGATATAATCCAACACTCTCTCATCTCTGATCTCAACTAACTACATGCAATACCACATCTTCTTCCTCACATTGCGAAGATAGGCAGGTCAGGCAAAGGGTGCATCCACGAGAAAAAGGGCCTTGCCCAGCTCATAACGTTGATTTCTTCAGAATGAGCATCAACTTGGCTCACTAGATCTATGGTTGCATTTAACATGCACTTAATTTTTGAATTTTCTATTTTCTCATGCTCTTTCAGAGGAGTATGCAATTCTAAACAATTTGGCCTAAAGCCTAACCCTTACCAATCCTTACCTCAGGTCATAAAATCCTAAACCTTTCTTAACCAATTGTGTGTTTTGGTAGTAAATAAAAAAAATCCATTAAGATAACAGAATAAAGTTACACCAAAATTGGTGCTGAGCAATTGCCAAATTGTTAACTCTCCTAGTCTCATTATTTGGTCATAGCCATCTTACATCAATTTGGTGTTAGAGCCATTGGTCCTGCATTAATTTGGTATCAGAGCAGTAGGTCTTACATCACCTAAGTTCCTATGATTGCAGTTGTTCTATCCCTTATACTTATCCCACTCAACATCCTTACCTTAGCTGTGCTTCTTTTTTGAATATGCTGTCTCTTGTTTGTTTGACACTTCATTCTTGATGCCAGCACTGCTAGACTTGTAAATCACCTTTTCTTTTCATTTATAATTGAAATGTGTTCATAAAGCACTACATTTTTCTCAGTCAAATTTATGAACTGCATTAATTACCAAAAAAGCAATCATGTACAAGTTAAGCCCATGTGTTACTTGAAGTTGTTCAGAAGGGCCACTAAACACCACCCCAAAAAATAATTTTATATATTCTTGGGCTTATTGAATGCCATTGTGTAATTTCTACAAGGTGTATCATGCTTTTCTTATGCTTCTGATAACTTATTCTCCGTTTTTTTTTGTTTGTTTCTGTTTTTCTTTTTTTTTTTTTTTTTTGCTGTACTGCAGGCATTTTCCACGAGCTTCCTGGATCTCAGATTGATAGTTTCAAATCCTTGTTTAACTAGATAGTCTACTTGGTCCTTTCTGTGCTTATGGGACTTGTGAAGACTGTGGATCATATGGGAAAGGGGGGTAACCATTTGGGAAATATCTGTTACTTCCCAAATGAAGATGGCCTAGAGAGAGATGAGAGCAATGTTGTGGGTTTAGACTCAGGGGATGATTCTGATGATTGTGCAACGGAGGAAATGGGTTTTGAGTTTGGAATGCTTGGAGGTCAGATGTGCAGTATTCCTTATGAGCTTTATGATCTGCCAGATCTTAAGGAAATTCTATCCTTGGAAACATGGAATTCATGCTTAACAGATGAAGAGAGGTTCTCACTCTCCGCATACCTCCCAGATATGGACCAGCAGACCTTTTGGCTGACTATGAGGGAGCTTCTTAGTGGTAATAATATGTTCTTTGGCAGTCCCTTGGTGGAACTTTTTGAGAGATTGAAAGGTGGTTTCTATCCTCCAAAAGTGACTCGTTTCAGAGAGTCTCTTCAGTTTTTGCAGAGAAGAGCATATTATCATTCACTAAGATTATACCATGAAAATATGGCCCAGACCTTCTCCAACATGAAAAGGATGTGGGATAAATGCCGGCCAAGTAGCAGTATTGAAGAAAGGATCCTTATATGGAAGGTGAGGAAGAACCACACAGGCAAGGATCCGCTTGATCTTAATGCATATCCAGTAGATGAGGATCTGACTAGCAAGAATCTCAACTTAAAAACAGCTTTGCTCCCTTCGGCAAAGACAACAAAATACATAGATCCAAAAGGAGAAACAACCAAACTTTTGCCTCCTGTTGCCAGTGGAATGAAATTGGTCAGTTCCAATACCAGTGGAAAGGGGGTTCTGAAAATAAAGCCTGCTGGAATGGGCTCACAACAAACATGTTTCTTGAAAACAGGTTCCAATTATAATTGGGCACAAAGCCAACCTACACCAAAAGGGGTGCTGAAAATAGTCCCTAAACGTTCTACACGGCAGGAACATTCAAGGACAATGTCAATATATTCAGAACCAACAAAGTTGACTGAAGCTCCAGTTCTGCAGACATCTAGGTTCTCTCCTTCGCCAGCATCTCTATATAATTGGGATGTAGGGGATTATGATGGGGAATCATCCTTTCCACATAAAGTTCGTGGTAGAAAAGCTTACAGAAGTCCTGAGGTTCCTGATTACATGGATCGGCAGAGAGTGGACCTTCTAAATAGTACCATTGGACCAAGCAGAAACTTACAGAATTCTATCAGAAAGGTGAGGCGAGCAAAGAATCAATCATTTGATGCCATCAGAGATTTACCAGAACACAGCTTGTTTGGAAGTGAACCTGGAGAATGGAACAGAGATGAAAATAGTGCAAAAGGAGGCCATCTGTCATCAAGGAATTCCCTTGATGGAAGGAAGTTGGCATGTGAAAGTGAAAATCTTCGGCAGAATTTGAGAAGTAGAGAACCGTCCCAAAGTTCCCTGGAATCATTCCAATTTGGTACTGAATATTACCAAGGGGAGAAGCTTATAACACCCAAGCAAGAAAAGTATATCACCAAGCATCCAAGAATTTCAGAAGTAGCTTCAAGAATCTCAGGTGCTGGTATTGAGGAGCATGAAACAGTGAAGATATCTTCAGATCGAACAAAGAGGCATAGAGATGTCAGTAGTGCAGAAGGATCACATAAATTATGCAATCAACTTTCTATTTCTGAGGGCCTTCGAGATGGTGTGGCGTTTCCTATAACATACAAGCGAAGGAAAACCCAAATGAAGCCTGACTCATTAGATTTTATTAAACCACTGGCTACAGGGTCTGATTATGGAGCTAAAAAATTGAAGGAAGAAAATCACCGTTTGGGGGAGAGTGTGAAGGCTGTGAAGATTAAGTTCAAGAACTGGGATGAAAAATCTCTAAACAAGCAAGGGATTGTAAATGGGTTGCAATATGGTTCTCCATCTGCATAAAGAACAGAGAAAAAGTGGGGTTATCATTGATTGAACGTGACAATGCTTGGCTGATCTGACTGGTGCTTCTGTGGATTGCAAATTGGATTGGAAGTTCGAGTTTTGTTATATTTTCCCTGATATAAACGAGGCTTACCTGAAGGCTTCATCTAAGTCTTCCCTCATGCCAATATTTGGAACAACTTCAATGCAACATTTCCATCATGTGACTAAGGCCTTCTCATCAGGCTTCTGGAAAGGTTGCACCATGCAGCATAGTTAAAAAGGCCATAAAGCCAAGCCTCCCATGCTTATACAAGAACATGGACATGGAATTGTGTTCTGATGCATTTCTTTTCATCTTGTTCTTAAGATGAACCTGTAATGCAACGGATTTCTTCCACTTCATATGTAGAACATCATGACCAGTAGATGTTCCTTTCTTGTTTGATCTCTTGCAAGGTTATATGAGGTAACACCTGTGATTCTTGGCTCGTTCTATCTGTAAATCAATGTATATTGATTAAGTTGAGAACACCCTCTTCATTTTTCTTGCTTCTGAGTGATCTCTATGCGTATATTTGTAGGTAAAGATACTCATTGTTTGATTTGGTTAACGGTGTGAATTCTACTGTCTGGCGAACGCCATACCATAAGACACTGAGGTGATTCGAACTCGTGTAAATTGAACAGAAAATGGCCTAGAAACAAGGGCTTTTCATATTAGCTCTGTATCACTATCTGCATATTGCACTTACCACCACCCCATCCTCTACTTGGATTCTCAGTCTAAGAAGTTAATCAGTTTTCTACCTATTAAAAAAAGATGCTAATCAGTTTTCTACCCATAAAAAAAAAGGACGCTAATCAGTTCTCGTTCTTTAATTTCTTTTTCTATTTCCTTTTCTTTTGATGTTTCTTTGTAGGAGCATTAATAGACTAAATAATTATATATTATCACTTTAGCTTTTGTATCTGTCACTTTTTTGTTTCTCCAATATATGGGGCCCAGGTGCAGGCGGGTTCCATCCCAAGTCTCCGCTACAACCAGCCGGCTGGCACCTTGCCTTTCTCACAATTAATTGGAACATCATAAAACAATCGTTGCATGATATTTTAAGACTTGTCTTGAAATTTTCAATAATCATTGAGCAATTTTATATTGTTTTCCCATGTACATAAAATCTATTTTCAGGGTCKCTTATCAAATTACCATTCAACCACATGCATGGATTCACTTGCTAGTATCCCTAATAAATATGAATGGGACATACCCTGCCATCAGGCCCCATGACTATGCTCCGACATGTGGGTAGATGATGATCATGATATTTATGTCCACAAATTGGAACTGACATGACACCCCACGTAATGTTATTATCGTCACAAGAGGGATATATTTTACTCTGCCCCAGTTTTTCCACTGTTTGTTTGTAGTGTAAAATTGTCCTCAAATTTGTTTACCATGCAAATGCCGGTTTGATGTAAATATTTACTCTGGTCCAGTTTTTTCACTCTTTGTTTATGGTGTCAAAATATTGCCAAAATCGATGTAAATCTGTGGATGACAGAATATCCGTTGATACAAGCGTAAAAGTTAAGTTTGCTTCGATTTTTTCGAAGTAAACTTTTACACTCATTCTTGTCGATGTAAACAAGCCATGTCATTCGTATACTTTGAAGACCACCTCGAAGAACTCCACCGGAAAAGCAACTACAATGGTAAAATCCGATCTCAATTATTTTCCATCAATGACCTATGAACCTGCAAATCCAACCAACGATCTAAGACAAAGATGACTTCTTGCTACACCGGTGGCTTCTACATCAATTTCCTCTGATTTCCTGGAAGGTAAGGGATTTCATAGTTGATTCTTCTATTTTTTTTTTTTTTTTGAAGAAATCAAGATCATAAATATTAGAAGCTCCAACAAGTGAACGGTTGAACTCTCTTCTTCAACAATTGAGCTCTGCTTCTGGAGAGAGAAAAGGCAAGAGAAAGGATAATAAAATCCAATGGCTCAGCTGGCAGGACTGAGTGGGTTTCTGAGAATTTCATTCAACAGTCAACACCAATCGTAATGATTCATTTACATTGCAATTGGAGTCGCTGATCAGTTTCAATCTGTCACAGAAGACTACTGAAACTCATGAAGGTTCTTTCGTTGTTGAAGTCGTAACTTGTGAGTTAGTTAGATTTTGGTTTTGGTGTTAATGTTGAAATCACCAAATTTGATGAATGCTATTTACTTGTGAATTCTGCTTCTCGGTAAAAATCAAATGCTAACCGGTTTGAGAAGTGAAACTCTCTTTTTGGTTCTTTCCAATAAACCCATTTGTCTAAATCAGAACAAAGCTAAGACACACTGGCCAGAACTAAAATTGGAAATGTATATTTCCGGCAACGCAGTCACTCTTCCAATTGTTTTCATGTTATAAAACAAACGCTCACAAAGCTGCATCATACTCTGTATCGTTAAATGCCAAACAAAAAGAGCACTAAAGAAAATCTAAATCCGCTTTCATTTTGTATTCACTTGAACCAGACAAGACATCATTTACAGTGTGCAAAATTGTATTTTACACCACAACCAAACGTAGCTTTAAGCTCAGTTTGGAAGGAGTACAAAAACAAATATGTACAGTGCATTTATATACAAAATAATATAAAATATAAGATTTTATACTCTACATATTTGTACACCTTCCAAACTGAGCCTTACGTTCAAAAAAAGATAACGGCAATTATTAATAGGTTTTACCTTTAGATTGGTCCCACATGAGAAATCTTATACTGATGTGAAAGGGGGATCTCTAACCATCTGCTCTGTCGTTTGTTTGTATGAATCACTGTCATAAATCATAATGTTTTTTGTCTCAAAGGTTTTGTGGTTCTCATCCACTGACACTTGTTTTCTCTTACGTGGGCTTTACCCTTTTATCATCCACTTGATTTCCAATCTTTGACTCTTTGTGGTAGGCACTAGACACTACTCATTACTTCTAAGTAATCGAAGCTTACCATCCAGTCTAGCATCTTTATGGTGCATAAGGTAATAAGATTAAATGGTAAGGAAAACAGTACCATAACCATGGCAAATGGATTTATCTAGCCAAAGAATCTGATCTTCTGGATATAGTATACTCCATGTAGGGTATGGAGAACCATGTGTATAGTGTAGAAATGGTGGTCATGGATGGTATAACACTAATGATGGATTTTAGATGTATTCTGTATATAATAATTATCCATAAGGTTGCGTTTGAAAGTGATGCAAATATGTCGAGTGTAAAACGGTTCATATAAATTGTAAAGTTAGATTAGTTTTGCACTGACAAATTTATCTTCTTACCAAACAGATTTTTAACTGTAATGGATAAAAACACAAATTCTAATAATTTATCAAAAAAAACACAAATTTTAATAAAGCATATGCCTTTTGTATCAAAAGCCCACTTGAATGCAAATTTACTTTCTTTTTTATTGATATACTTTTACATCTTATTATCAATGTAAATATGCATTGGTTTGTCATTTGTCAATGCATAAATGTAATGTTGTCAAACACAGGCAAAAGTGAACCAGAGTGCAAATTTACCCTAAACCGGGATTTACACTCTATTTGCTTCGTTTCCAAATGCAGCCTAAGGTACTCCCAATTATAAACATATGATAGTCACGGGGGCAAATATTATTGGATTATATGGTGGGTATATATATACCCGTGAACTTTGATAAATGTCATGATTTTCAAAACCGGACCAGATCGGATAGTCGGACTGGAAAACCGGGAACCGATCAGGTTCCGGTTCCGGTTTTCTTCAAAACCGGATTTTCCATAAAAACCATTGATTTTGATCAACAAATTGCTGACTTGGGCGATTAACTGTTCGAACGATTTTGACCAATTTTCATTTTTTGTTGTTAAAACGGACTAATCATTCGGTTCGAACGATCAGACCATTCGACCCAATAACCAGACCCCTGACTGGTTTGATCTCCGAATCAGTTTTAAAAACCATGATAAATATCACCTGGTTAGTTCTCACTTGTATGGTACTGGTTAATTGGTTCCAAGTTTCCCCGGTGTCATAGATGAAAAGATAGATGGATAGATAATATTAAGAAGGTAGACTTGTACCTCTCCTCTCTAGTTTAATTATCAATAAGATAAGATTGACGGTGACCCCTCCACTGTTTGGAGCCTAAAAGAATGGGTAGCACTTTTCATTTTAATAAAAAATGAAAGATGTTATATACATATAATATGTTAACACATCTAACCATATTTTGTTGTTACTTATTGAAAAACCATATAATAATTCAAATACATATTAAAAAGAGGCTTCACATGTTCACACTGCATTTATCTAATAGTAAACTATATATTTTATTGCCTCGTACATTATTCTGTCAATTGATCATTAAAATTAGTATTAATAATTTATTTATGATATATATATAGAGAGAGAGTAATGTTAATTTATGATTTATGACAATGAATTGCATTGAGCAAACATGACAATAACTCTTGAACTGCCCAGATCACCTGAAATGAGCCATGCCCAAAAACAATTATTTCCACTTGTTTTGTCTCAGAAAAGATCTTTTACTTTGTATCACCCCAAAAGATAACTTGGATTGTCTTTCCTGGATTTCCATTCCTATTGCAATTTGCTAGGTCCAGACTCACTTGTGCTGCAGCATGAAGTGGGAATAACTAATTCTCAATCTTGTGTGGTAAAGTCCTGGAATTCGTCCACCACGATCATTCTTCCATGTAAACAATAGCAGTTTAGATGCACCATTCTCAATTGGGAGAGTCAGTGGCACAATGTCTGAAGCAGCCAATTTTCTGGATCTAGAGGTCTTGTCAATCAAGGTTTAAAGTATTGACACGTGTATCGGCTCGCATTGACACGTATCGTTTTGGGACCTTTCCGATATGTCCCTACAGTGGATGTATCGGGGGGCCTGACTGGTTCAGGGGGTGGATGAGATCTAAACCGATCCCCCTGAACTGGTTTTGAAAAAAAAAATAAAAAAAAAAGTATCGAATCGCCCGATACACCCCTACCGACGTATCAGGCATCAATATTTTGAACGTTGTTGTGAACAAGGAAACTAGCTAAGGGGATCTGCATTAACCCCACATTAATTGCACGAGCAGTGCCTTTTCCATGCATATGAAAACAATAAAGGAAAAATTAAAGAGTTAAGGCATCCATAAACAGGGCTGACTAGAGGTGGCAATTAGACGGGTTTGGATTGAGTTCAACCCAAACCATCTAATCTGCCAACCTGTTAATGACCCATTTAAATAACATTAAATGAATTAGATTCAATCCAAACCCGCCTAATCGGTTTAATCCATTAACCTTGTAACATTTAAATTTTATGAAAAAGAAAAGGCAGAGATCTAAAGTAACAAAACTGAGAGGGAGAAAAAGGAATTTATATATTAGGAAAACTGAGAGAAAGGAAAGATAGACTAAAAAGACCACTGACTACACCAGCTAGAAGAAGAAATCGAGGTAAACTAAAATGAACATGGGTAGAAATAGTAAGAAATGATTTAAGCACAAATAATTTAATAGTATATATTACGTTGAATAGAACGAAATGGCGAAATAGAATTCATATAGCCGACCTATACAGTTGGGACAAGGCATAGATGATGGTGATGATGATGACTTAAATTTCATGAAAATTACTTAAAGTA